AGTAAGAATATTATTGTCTCAATATTGTTCATAAAAATTACTTTTAAGGCAGTGATTTATGCAATCGTTCTCCTTCATCCAAGCACAATACCAGTAGTTTTATTATTTTGCTTCTTTCTAAATGAAAATTAGCTTAATGTTGAGTCAAAGGGTCCCCAATTTTAGTACACAAATGCATATTTTACCAAAAGTGAACGATTTTATGATAAACATGGGAATGGTGTGTTTAAAATGTCGATAGGAAATTCAAAACAATTCATTTCACGCAAAATTGAAAAAAAGGAATAAATCAGAATTTGTCGGAGAAGACAATATATCATCCATGTACACTAAAGCACCACGGAAACGGAGTATAAGTAGCCCTATGACTTGAACAGATTTTTGCTAACTTTGTTATAAAGTGTGTCCTTAAGCCATTTGTAGGGAAACCCTCAACTTGATTTACCTTATTTCCAACTCTTCGTCCTAGATATCAAAATAAAGAATTTCCCTTCTAAATTGTGAAATAAAAATTCGTATCAGAAAAAAACCTTAACACAGAATATTATAGAAATGATAGAAGTGACTGTTTTCATGATTTGAGAAACATTGTCTCATAGGATGTAGATTGGTGCAACTGTCTTTAGTTGAATTTGTTGCATGTTTTTATTATATAAAATTGTATATGAAGAAAGAACCAATTTAAAATTTTGCAAGAATAGAAAATATTCTCTATGACACCGGATCCTACTTTTGATGTTTTAGAGACCCGCGTTTGGTCTTCTCCTGATTTTAAAGTTTGAATGGACCTTTGAGCTTAAATACTGTTTTCTCGGTATATATATTTCATTCAATAAAACTTAACCAGCATAAACTATAAAGCTATGAGAAAGAGAATTAAAAGAAACAGTAATGAAGCTGGTCTATTTCAATCATATAAATCAGGAACAAACACGGGAATCTTAAGAAAAAAATTATAGAAGTTGGATCAGATGCCAAGGAGAATCAAGCGTCTCCTGTCATGATCGGGTAAACACGAAATTCCACAGACATTGATATCAATAGCTATCCTATGAGCTTTTAGAAATCATTTTTTCCCAAAAAATGTTTATCATTTTTCAACTTATATCACTTAATCTTTACATGTAAAGAACGGCTTGAGATAATTTTGTATTGCTGAGTCGGATATAAAATGATCACTAAAACAATTGCTTAATCTATCAATATCTTGTAATAAATTAGTAATTTTAATAATTTTAAATTAATGTCCTTTTTTTCCTTCGAACAATAATTAGAAAAGTGCCTTTTTATTGGGCTTTTGATCACTTTTGGCTTAAAATAACATCAATCTCAGTGAGACATCACAAACATTTAAGCGTTAGCGCGGTATTCAATTTGTCGGCATGGCCAGGTGTGTTATCGGACCGAAGACATCCCAAAATATGAATTCAATGCTTATATTTACATTCTCTAATTTTTTCTCTTCATGTTTCTTTATTTCGGTAATTTTTAATGTGAATTTAGCGCCCTGCAAAACTGATGTGCTTTATAGACGTAACAGCCGTGTTTGACGTTTGTGACGTTGCAAAGTTAAATAACGCAAAGGAAAAGTGACAAATTAATTATAAACGCACATTTGTTGTATTTTTACGTTAATATAACATGGTTATAGTTTTTGAATTGAATTCTGTCAAAATAATGTACATTTTGATATTTAATTATATAACGTATACATTTGTCGCGTGTGTATTTTTATTTCTAATGGATTTAAAGAAAATTAATTTTATTTTCATGAAGACCACAATAAATGTTTATAACAAGCTATACTATGCTTTCTTCCATTTGGATACATTTTAAACTTTTAATCAGAAATGGACAAGTACAATAAAACACAAAATAATGTACATTTTGATATTTTAGCTTGAATAAGCTTCGTTATCTCCATTTATTGAAAATGCATATAGTCTTCCGTTTCCAACGGAAGACCTTATTGTTTTCGTTCTGTTTCTTTTTCCCTCTTCTTTTTTTTATTATTATTCTTACAGATTTTGTGCACGCGAGTTCTAGCAAACGGCTCAATGGATTTTCACGAAACGCGCGGTGACAAGGTTTCAAGATAATGAGTTGAGATTTTCAGTGTGTGTTAGTGCCATTTTGAGATTCCAGTGCAAAAACAAAGCTCGTGGTTTTAAAAAATCAAAAATATCTCACAAAATTTGGCACATTTTGTTTCCTTCTTCATACCTGTTCATAATTTGAAAATATACAATAAATGTAAATATTAACTTCTTATGATCAGTATTTTGTTATACATTACTGAAGCAAAAGTATTTATCTTAACAATTTGCAACTATATATCATAAAATTTTGATGATATGTTACGTAATTAGGGGTCAGAAAGCTATACTTATATGAATATTTCTAATAAGCAATTTGAACAAAAGATGGTCAGAATTTTAAACTTTTAATGAGAAATAGCATATCTCCATAACAAATAGAAACTGAATAAGTGCTACAAAAAATCTTAAAACACATTGTCTTTTATCTATAACTCTCTAATGATCAATATTTTGTTAACCATTACTCAAGCAAAAGTATTCATCTTAACAATTTGCAACAGTATATGATAAGATTTTGATGATATGTTACGTAATTAGGGGTCAGATGGGCCAGAATGTCAAATCTTTGACGCCTTATATCTCAAAAAGGGGGAATATTTTAATAAGCAATATTGAACAAAAGATGGTCAGAATGATGATCTAGACAATATGCATACTTCAAATGTTTATAAAACGGCCCCGTTAAGGACTTGTAGGGGTGGCCCCTAAATATTTCCATTTAGCATATCTCCATAACAAATAGAAATCTCTGAATAAGTGCTGAACAAAAAATCTTCAAAATAACGAGACCTTTTATTTGATATCTGATGTTCAGAGGGGCCAAAAGTCTTTTATCTATAACTCTCTAATGATCAATATTTTGTTAACCATTATCAAGCAAAAGTATTCATCTTAACAATTTACAACAGTATATGCTCCGTGATCTGTATATGGAACTTTTGCAATATTGAACAAAAGATTGAATAGACAACATGCATACTTCAAATGTTAATAAAATCTTGTAGGGGTCTAAATATTTATTTCATCTCCATAACAAATAGAAATCTCTGAATAAGTGCTGAACAAAAAATCTTCAAAATCACGAGACCTTTTATTTGATATCAAGAAAAAGGGGCTGACCCCTCAAATGAGGGGCTCAGAGGGGCCAAAAGTCTTTTATCTATAACTCTCTAATGATCAATACTTTGTTAAACATTACTGAAGCAAAAGTATTTATCTTAACAATTTGCAACAATATTTAAACAAATATTTCAGTCAAAATCACATCACATCTTATCGAGTAATTCAACGGAAGACCTACTCGTTGCTCGCAACGAGATCTCATCTAGTTATTATTATTATTATTTTCATTTCAAAATACACATCCGACTTGGGTAAAACCTGTATAGGGTCAGTAGACATGTAATGTAGATTTGGAATCAAGGTCATTTTTTGGTGCACGTGCAACACGTGAAATGACAATATAATAGATATGTTTTTTTTGAAAATGCTTTGAAACTCATTATGAAAGTATATATTAGTAGTGTAGACATGACGAGATGGTCAGAATAAAGTATCTACACGTGCGCTTGCTCTGATTGGCTTTTCATATCTTTCTTGTTTTTTGATAATCCTATGAAATTTTGAACATAGTCATATATTTCTACAGCCTGATATATAAGAATTATGCCATGCAAAGCGCGCACGTGCAACACGAGAAATGTCCAATAAATTGATACTTAACTTTTTAAATTTTTTATGAAATGCTTTGAAACTCTATGATATCATCAAAAACACGCGCATGCGCGTGCGCTTCTCTCTGATTGGCTGAAACTAAAATCTCAATATCTATCTTGTTTTTTGACAGAATCCTTTGAAATTTTCAACTTGCATATCCATTATGAAGATCTAAAGCATGATATTTAAGAATTATCATAAAAGCATCCGCATGCATTTGTGCTGCAATCTGATTGGCTGAAACTTTAAATGTCTACAACTTTCTTAGTTTTCAACAAAACGGAATGAAATTTAGAATATTTTTAGGTATAATGGATTCCTACATTATGGTACTATCAAAATTAAATGCACAAACATGCATGAGTGCAAGTGCGAATGCGAAAAACGCAAAATGACCAATTTATTTGCAGTAAGTATATTTTAAAGCTTAACAAAATATATTTGTAAGGATATTTTGCATGTGCATGAAGGTACAATGCGTTAAATGACATATAGTTGATATCATTGAAGCTTTTATAATTCTTTGATGATATTCTGATCATATTTTAAAAAATGTCTTACAGGAATTAGGGGTTACAATTAGCACTAGTTTCATTTAGAACAAATTATGTATTGTATTCTCCGTGCATTTACGTTTTCATTTCAAAATACAATCTTATCATCTTTTGATTTGGAGACTCAATTCATTTTTTGGTCATACTGAGGTATCACTACATGTTTTCTTTGAAATGACTCGATGATTGAAAATGAATCTGTATTTGACCATTATTAAAGTATTATACAGTGCTCTATTTTCATAGTAACTACTTCTATTTCCACTTGCCACAAAACTAGAAAAATTGATGAACAATTTACTAGTATCAGAAAACATTTTATTTACAATTTATTTTAAACATGTATAGTGAAAATCAAGGCTTATTTGTAAGGTATTTGAAGTTCTATAACTCAGACACTTTCATAAATGAATGGTTATCGTATGTAGGATAACACAATGATATATTCAATATATAATATTGATGTGATTTAACCTCTGGTATATCAATGTTTTCTAAGTTATTGATGTTTTCTGGAGTTTCAAGTCCTCCTGTACGTCTGCTATAAATGAGGAATTGCAGACGCCATGTGCAATGAAGTAGATCTGTAAAGCAAAATACAAGTACAATGTACTGGAAAATCATTTTTCTGATCCTTCAAACAACATTAATATATCGGTAAAGCACATTGTTTTGAATCTCCGCCACCTGTCTCAGCAGTGTTCCAAATAAACAACTGATCAAAGATCACTTAAGCGGCTTATGACAGCTCACAGCGGATTTATACAAGATGGAATCCATTGAACTACTTGAGTGAAGGTCCTCGGGTTTCTTGTGTTTGTGCAGGTCTCGAGGCTTAGAGAGATCACATTTGGAACTTTTCTGATGGTGGCCTTGTGACTTGCAGACAGCTACATGCTCTGACAGATCTATGGTGTGCGCATGCGTTGGGCGTTGATGTCGTACTTTTGGAGAAGGGTTGGGAGTAGATTCATTTGAATGTTTGGCATGGTGAAATAAATCTGAGAACCCACAGACATCCGAATGAGACTGACGATGTTGTTCATGTTTGTGTTGTTTATGAAGTAATTCTGCTGTCCTTTTTCCTGCTACCATATTGAAGATTCCATAAGACAGGAAGGTTTCCCTTTCCTAAATTAGAAAATAAAAAGAAAATCATGAATGTTACATTTTAATCTTTTTTTACAAAAAGTCATTTAAGTCTATTGTGATCAAATGCGTGTTTACCATACACATAGGTTTTGGACCAAACATGTTGCAAGGTCTAATTCTAAACTACTAGTTTATTTACAGAAAATACATTGAAAGAACAGAAAATAAAAGAAACTAAGATGATGCAACAAGTCCATGGGAGAAGTTATAAATTTATTTATAAATTATAGATTTATAATGTTTTAATGATACATGTTTGATACGACCACATCCCACTATGGGACGTAGAGACCGGTCCTCCGAATGAAATCGTCCCGTGTCGCAGAAGGTACTGGCATGAAAAAGATCACTCACTGCTCAATGGCCGTAAGTGTCAAGTATAGGACAAAAATTTGCAGCCCTCCAGCGGCAAATGATGGCGCGTCTCCGTTTGACCAAAAAATTCTCGAGATGGATGTTTAACAACATGCATACAAACAAACTTTGGAAAATGAAACCTGGCTTACCGCACTTTATCATACATCTAACAGCTAATTGTATCATAATTATGTGTTCACAAAAAACATGCATAGAGGTGGAACATTGATAACTGTATCATTATTTATTAAAATTCTATTTAATATTTATTCTAAACAATATAATGCATAAGTATTATCCGAAAAAAAACCCATTGATTGCAAAATTAACACACCATTCTTAAATAATTGAGTATTAAGGAAATTGCCATGAACATTTATTGAAATACTTATTAAGAACATGCACAGCAGAAAAATATGTATTTTTTAAATTAGGTCAGAACGGAAACCGATTTGTTTCCTTAGCTGCGTACGTATACGTCACATCGATAAAATATGCATGATATCTCACTAATTTCAGAAACAAGATTTATCGATTTTTCAATTTTAAATGATGGATGACAAGTATTGGCAGGTAATAACTTAAGACAATGTAAGATGTAGGGAATGATTGCCCCTGCTATCGTCTGCTTCTTTGCTTGCCGCCTCACGCTCTCAGCAGACGATCGATTAAATATGAACCATTAACTTCATCTTTATCAGAGCTATGAGTTCATATTTCACAAATGAGACCTTACCTCATGAGGTGGGATTAATCTGGTCTCAACAAAACTCATTTTCATGACCTTGTTTCTTTTTTTTTTTCGATTTACCGATATTCAGCTTTTTTTCGAGTTACCCGGTGACTAATATGAGATACACTCCTTTCAATCTCAGTCTCTTTGACTAATTTGCTTTCACTAATGAGTAATTAATTTTTCTTCTGACTTCAAGCTGCTAAAACAAACATCGAAAAATGTAAAATGGTTCGTGTTTCTATCGTTACTCATAAAAACAAGATCTGCCTACAAATTATGCTTAATTAGTTCAGGAGTTTTTCATCTCCTCTCATACGTTATTTATAGGAAAAGTAATATTTTTCCTTTTAATTAGACATAAGAATATCCTTGAGGCACATATAAATCTTAGAATGAGAGAAAAATCTTTTAAAGATTCAGAAATGATAGTTAAACTTGTTCTCTAAATACTAGTATATCCAAGAATTGTAAAATAATAATTTAATTATGGGACCAAAATGCATTTAAAGCTAGATAAATTAAGGAGAGCAAAGGAAGGGTGTGATATCCTTAGAAGTATAGTAAAGCAGAAATACTTAGCCGGTTGAAAACGAATAAAAGTACGTCGAAATACTTAAGTTTCTTTCATCAGTTCCGAGAATACGAGGAGTGATCAAAAGGTTCGCGAACTATTTGAATAACTTCCATAAAAGAAACAATATTTGGTTTCAATGTTGATTATATATTTTAAATTAATCCTCTCCGATTTTAATGCACATCAACCACCGTTCTGCGCATGCGCGAATCACGTGATATTGGCGGTCACGTGACCCCCTTCGTAGCGTTCTGTCACAAAAGGTGAAAGATTTTTCTGAGTTTTATATTTCTTTCCATGTGAGTTAATTTTTAGACAAGAACAGTTCATATGTCAGAAATAGTCAATTCTCGGCAACAGAATGGTTGAATAAGAATATCCTTTCCAAAAACAAGCATGGCGACCATTTAAACACAAATCTTTTGTCTCAGGAGAGACCTTTATTCAAGGTGGATAGAGAATTGGTGCCTCCTTTTTATCATATCTAATATGTTTAAAATCTAAAGTAAACGATATCTCAGGTATTTAATAATCATATTATTGTTCACATATTCAACTATTTTTCAAATTGTAAATTGGAGGTCTTTCATAGCAAATTGCTTAATTAAAAACACATATCTTTTCAAACCTGCTTTCACTGGGCAAGATGACAAGTATCATTTTTAACCACCTGCCTTCCTTCGCTGAAACGATCAATCCAATCATTAATTAAATTTATAGGAACTCATTTATCTTAATAAACTGTGTACAAATTATTATATGATACTGCAGATGGATTTTTAAGACATACAATAAATTGTACAGTCGTTGTTGAACGAGTTCGATAGAGACAATCATTTTTCGTCACAAGTGACCTACATAGTGACGTCATTTTCACATTGTTACGTCACAAAAAAAGGAGAAAAACTTTATTCAGCATATGCTTTTTATAGATCTTCTGTATGGCTATGTGAGTACCGAATTTCATTCTAATCTGAGTTGTGGTTTTGTAGATATAGAGATAGTTCGCGAACTTTTTGATCACCCCTCGTATTCTTTGTAGAGATGTTTCTGCTCTTCATATTTTCGAATATGCTTTGTTGGTAAATTATGGTTTATTTCATATACATAAAAGAATGGTAATGTTCAGATTTTTTTTTTAATCTGCGGAAAGTCAATTTAAGATTATTTAACCTAAGCACCCAATTGAGGAAACGGAAACCCATTTACATTAGAAAAAAATACTACGAGAAGTAAATTATGTCAATCTTGCTGTAAAATGTCGAAAATTTTTGCATGAACAACATTTTAGTTTTTAGAAAGGCAATTTACATGTACAAGAACATTTAAGTTGATTTTACAAGCGGTAATCCTATTTATACACATAAAGCTCGTTAGAAGAGATTCTTCAAAAGTGCCTGTCAGATTTAAATATTTTTAATATTCACAACAGCTATATTTTTGAATTAACATACTGGATTCCTAAAATTCCCGAATTTTGAAGCCACGAAACTTTTACCCAAACTGAAGAGCATTAAAACGTATAATATTGATATACACTTATCCTACAAAACCAGACTCTACTGAACCACGCTTATGTTCAATGATAGGACAGATTTTTCTTCTTGTCATTAGACATCTTAAGACTCATTTTCATGAAAACATTCTTATTCTACACGCGTGATGTACTATGAAATTGGTATTTAAAAAGATGCTTGCATTCCTCATTTATATGTATTCTTAGAGAGAAGTTAACAATGGTTATTTCCATTTTCATGTCGATACGATATATCCCGATGACCTTGACGATAAAAGATACCACAGAGTCTGGTACACCTTTCTTATTTGGATATTTTACTTGAAAAAGACGATAATGGTAATCTAACATTCAAATCTATGATAAACATGATGGCTTTATCTTTTCAATCGTCTACTTTCCTTACTTATGCAGCAATATACATAAATTGCATACGGATTTTATTATCTCTCAGTTGATTCGATACGCAAGAGCATGTTCTACGTATGCACAATTTCAAAGACGAGGTAAATTGACGAGCAAGTTGATGAAAAAAGATCAGCAGTCTCGTTTAAAGTGAGTAGGAGCAAACGGCGGTTGCGACCGGTCGGCAGGGGATGCTCACTCCTCCATGGGACCTGATCCCATCTCTGATGTTTCGGAAGTCCATGTTTGCTCTGCTCCTTTTTGTATTGCTTAATGGACTTTTAGCTTGAATACTGTTCGTTATCTCCATATATTTCATTTCAAACAATCGTATGTAATTCTTACAGTTAGAAATTGTTCCACAGAATTTGCAGACCAGTATTCATTTTTTTCTGCATCAAAAGAAATCTTCTAATGTGGTTTTCAATACTTTATGATAGATATATCGATGATGTTTATGAATTTTAATATTAATTTCGTTCACGTCTAACATATCTACTGCATATTCGATATTTTACTCTAGAGATACATATTTTTGACAGCTTGACGTTTTAATAAACGTCTATCGTTTACTATTTTTCCTCATTTATGTTCAGTCATACTATTATCACTTACATGTGGGATTAATGTCTCTTGGTTCGTTCGATATGGAAAAGCACGTATTTCTTACGGATTGTGTGTTAAAATAGACACGTCCCTGTCAAATGAGTTAATGATAAAAGGATACATATGAAGGATCCTGTTTATAGTTAATATTTCATGTATCCATATGTTGATACAGTGACTTTGTTTAAGGACAAATGATACAAACTTTTGTCATAAAAAATAAAAATAACTACTTGAGTCATGTTTTAATGACTTAAATGAATAGGTTTCATCGTGTAGTTTTTAATTTTTATTCAAATTTTCACTAAAATGGGATTTGAAGTGAAAAATATTTGTATAAATTATTAAGGAAGGTTTCAGAAAAATAGTCTTAAAATGGCCATAACCAGCAATCCCCTGTGATATTGAAGAATGGAATTTGTCTTAAGACTTATCTTTAGATTTCTTATACTTAAGATAGTTTTATGAAACAGTAGTGACAAATCTTATGATTGTCAGACGTCAGATCTTAAGATGATCGTAAGATCTATCTTAGGACAGATCTTTCGATTGTTTTGTGAAACCCGGCCCGATGATTGGATGACCGAGGTCGTATATCGCAATTGAATTTCAATAATGAGAACTTTACTCTAAATGCTTCATTCCTAAATTAAACATGATTATTATATATCTGAAAGTATAGGAATTCTGCACGTCCTGTTCACCCATCTTCCTTGATGGTTTGTCAATAAACAGAAAATAAATATCTGTTGCAAGAGTTCGGCTTTCGTACAATGATAAAAACTATCAACATACAGTTAATTCAATTTAATTGCTATATCAGTCTCATTATCATTATCAAATATTTTTTTAATATTTTGTATACATGAAGTTCAATAGTGTAATTTGTTCGTAATTATTTACTTAACTTTAATCATAAATGGTATTCTACGGGAGATCGAAGCAAGCATTCACCATAAGTTTAAGCATTTTTTTTTTACTTTTCGGGACATGTTAGAACTTTATCTTGCCAATTAATGGTATGTCGGTAGATAAACATAGGTCACTAACAATCTAATCTGAATTCTCTTATCTTCTAATTCAACACTGATTATTTGAAAATCCACGATGACACCGTTCAACTTCGTGCTGACGATTGTAATACTGTCGTTTGCAGTTGTAACGAAAGCAGACGTTGATGAAACATGGAGGCGGGAAATAGAGCGAAAGATGAATGAGGTTTTGCAAATCGTGCAGAAGCAAGAAAAGATTATCCAAGAGAGGGACCATGTTATTGCACGCCAAGATCGAGAATTACGGAGACACAGTGAAGAAATTCAAATGATGAAGAAAATCATAGACGAGATGAAACAGAACTGCAAATCTGAGAATGGAGTTAATCAGCAGACAGAAAATAGTGCATTACAAGAGAAAACCAGCAAAATTCAAAGATCTCAAGGTAGTCATTGTTATAAATGCTTTTAATTGTAAAACTTTTAAAATGAATTTATATTATCATACATTATTTGAAGTGATATTAACTCAGTTTTAAAGTGACATAAATTGTTCTGTGATTGACATCAGATAAAAATCTCGTTTATATCATACAGTTGTACAAGGACTTGGAATTAGTATTTATAAGTAATATAAAAGTCTTATCACAACTGAAAAAAATCTCGATTCGTTCATCAAAAAGTTAGAAAAATGTTTTATATTCTGTCTTCATTGGTAATTTCCAATGACAAAGGTAATATTTCGAAAAACGTACAGTAAATCTTTTTGCTGGCTTTTTGGCAAAAAATTAGTTTCAATATAAACATTTACTTTAGAAGATAATTAACTTTAAAATAGTTTCATTAACTTTACAGACAATTTATCCAAACGTCTCTTGCTGACAACGCCTCAAAGTGATCACAGTGTTGCTTTCTATGCGTACATTTCCAAAAACTTTGCACATGTTGGTAATAATCACGTGTACATCTTCGACACCGTTGTTACTAACCATGGTAACGCCTATAACAATCATTCTGGGGTTTTTACCGCACCGAACCAGGGACTTTACGCGTTTTCATGGACGGCATTTGCTGCGGGAGAACACTTACTCGGAGAAAGTGGAGATTACGGCGAAGTTTCAGTGCACATCCTTCAAAACGGCCAGTATCGTGGGTCCATATATGTAGACACTGAACAGGCATATGATGAGGAAATGGCAACGGGATTCGCAGTTTTAACCCTAAATGAAGCCGATGTGGTAACGATTGTATCTCCATCATCTGGTACGGGATCGTTCAAAAGTGACGGGTCGGGAAGATGGTCGTTTTCAGGTTTCCGTGTAGCATAGAACTTATCTTATTAAAGGTTGTTCATGTTGAATGTATGTCGTTTTGTTACAGATTTAAAACAGATTTAAAAGTCTAAGCAGAGCAATTGAGGACATGTATAAGCAGTAGATTTCCCGTCTACCTACCGACCCAATCATTTAACCCTGAGTCAGAAGAGGGCAAGCAAACATTATTTTTAAAATGGCTTAAGAGTATATTTTTGTTTCAATCTTGCAGTGAGAAATATGTTTTATTGACGGTATACTGTTTGAAGTATTTGGATTACCTTTGACTCATATAGAGGTCAACATGTAAGTCGGAAAAGCTTTAATTTTCACCTAAACTCGGTAGTTGGTGGCCTGTTTACAATAATTACGCCATAGATATGACGCAATGCAGCGAATGAGAATCGAGCCCATGCCTACCGATCACACAATGAACGCCTCACCACTAGGCTACTGTGACCAGCCCTGACACACAGGAAAACATACTAGTAATAATACATGTAGGTCCTGATACTGTGTTCATAGCAAAGATTGACTTATTGAACTAACAACACAGTCGCTGTTTTTCTTAAAGATTGAATACATATCGCTTATCTTACCTATCTTTTTATTTATAGCACGTTATAAAAATCAACTATTCACTAACTAAAGGAAGACATGGTGACAATTTCCATGTTTCGACGGAGATACTACACTGAATATATTGCTTTTGGATTTACTAGTTATTTTAACATGATTTAAAATTTAATTTCATAAAATCGCTTCATTTTCAAAATAATTCTATTTAATGTACGGGAAGAAATTAAGTTTGAATCTATTTTGGCGTACTCATTTACAAGATCTTGACTAGAACTTGACCTTAAGGATCAAAAAGAGAGCAAACCTTATATTATAAAGCAAATACATAATAAATCAATGACATGTAATAGAAACCATAATAAATTTGCAAAATGAATCATATCTTTTGTTTGAGTTTTTGTATAGCGCTATTTAACATTTATTTCAAAATGTGTACTTAATTTGTTCATAAAAAACATGCTAGGTTAAAATGATTTTTCAGTTGTATAAATATATATTGGGCAAGTATAGAAAATAATGAAAGAACATACATGTATCTGGATAATAGGTTAAATAATTACAAGGATATAAGTGTCGTTGTTTGAGACTTTTATAACCACCTGACCAAGCAGATACAATGAAACACAAATCAAGTAAGCCCACTTAGTTTTAATGAGAAAAAATTGAAAATTTGAATTTTTCATTGATACATTACTGAGAAGTTTTCAAAATAAAGAATTAAGAGACAGCTTTCAAGTTTAGTACTCAAATAATGAATACATACTCTAGTTACTTGCCTTCATGACGATAATATACTTGATAGCAATTAATGCTGCGTGATTTGAACTCATTTATTTGATGTTAAGTAGCTGCTGAAATCGACTGTCTTTATTGAGTGCAATCAATTTCTATAAAGGATGTAAACCAGAACCAGCCCTAAATGGTTAGTGTCTAAAAGAAGGTTAATGTGTATACGACATAAATGATTTCATACGAGATAAAGGCCATATTTCGAATTACATTGTATGGAACAAATATGTCATACTCGAGGTATTGATCATTTTTTTTGATACGAAGTATACTCCCCTTAGCTAATTTAGCTACCACTTTTCCTCCATTTTGAGTTCTTTCTTTAATTGTAAAAATACACAAGGCTTGTTTGTCTTTTTATTTAAAGTTTTCTAAGATAATGAATTGGTTATTAGCTTGGATTAAGCCATTTTTAATCATTTTTTTCAGGCAGAACTACAAAACTAAAGAGAAGTTTAAATAAATCAAAATGTGTTTGTGAAACACTGATGCCCCCATGTAACAGCTTATGGCGAGGGTTAAAGTTTCTCAAATGCAAGATAAACTCCAAGGTCAAAATTGTTGGTATCCAAAAACAGGTCTTGTTACAAGGAATATACATGTGAAATATGAAATCTCTAGAGTTAAAGGTTCAAAAGTTATGGCCAAGGTTAACGTTTTTTAAAAGTGGGTCAAACTCTATGGACAAGATTTTTGCGGACAAACAGACAAACAGCTAGACAGACGGACGGACAGGGCAAAAACTATATACCCCCGAATCTTCGATTACGGGGCATTAAAAGCAACACTTGAGAAGCATAATAAAAACATTCGACATCATGCTACAACTAACAAAATAATCAAATTAGTTTGATTAGCAATATAACACAGTAAGAGCACCGACCTTATCCTGTATGTTCTTGGCGGTGCTGACCTCACAACTATGTTCTATCTCCGTGTTCATCTGATGGGTCTGGTGGTGATGTCCTGTAATATACACAGACGGAAATTATGATAGCAGCAATAAACTATAGCATCAATACACTATAGCAGCAATACACTATAGCAGCATTATATAGCAATAATACATTATAGCAGCAATACACCATAGCAGCAATGTGTAGCAATTCACTAGCTATCCACTTATATAATGAAACCAAATCCTCTAAAATACACAGAATGAAATTTAGGTATAGCAACAATACTAGCCATTCACTTATTAAATGAAATTTAAGCCTGCAATATACACAGATGGGAATTAGGTATAGCAGCAATAAACTATAGCAACAATACACTATAGCAGCAATATACTACCTATCCACTTATAAAATGAAACCCAATCCTGTAATAAACACAGATGGGGAATTACGTATAGCAGCAATACACTATAGCAGAAATACACAAGCTATCTACTTATACAGTGAAAAGGAAATTAAAGTAATTCCCATATATACACAGAAAACGAATAAGGTTCAACACCAATAAACTAGCTATATCCTATAATATAATGAAACTCAATCCTCTAATTTGAATTTGAATTACCATTTATATATTGGATCCAAAACTTCACAAAAATCCTTACAGAGATACATAACGAGTCCAGTAAATTTTCTACCAAGCCTATTTCTCTACTCCCCACTAAACTATTAACAGTTGTGAAGGAGAAAGTTCAGGAGTACTGCACAAACAATATAATCGAGAAATGGTCTAAATTAGATGTGCATACTTAAAACTTCTAACTGAAGGAACTTTTGGAACCTTTGAAATAAGAAAATTTTACCAAAATCAACAACTTAAAAACTTATGACTTTTCAACTTTATATACAACCATTCCCTACGATAAATTAAAGTCCAGGCTTTTGATATCATTGACAGCTGCTTTTTCATTAAAATGGAACTCGTCAATTTACTTACTTTGTCATTGGTCATTTTTTGAATTATTTTGTTAAAAAACAATCTAATTGTACATGCAAGTACTCTGAAGATGATATTAAAAGGATGCTCGAGTTTCTGGTTGACAATATCAAGTGGAATTCCCATGGGAACCAATTGCACCCCTTTATTAGCAGACCTATCTTTGTATTCATATGAAGCAGAATTTCTCCAAAGCGTATACGTGAAAATGATTAAAGCACTTGCTGTGGCCTTCAACTCAACATATAGCTATATCGAAGCGTATTGTCATGAAATATATGGAGATAACGAACTGTATTCAAGCTAAAACGTCCATTAAACAATACAAAATAGGAGCAGAGCAAACACGGACCTCAAAAACGTCAAAGGTGGGATCAGATACCATGGAGGAGTGAGCATCGCCTGCCGACTAGTCACACTCACGTGTGCCCATTTCATGATCGGGAAACGATTAAATGGTCATTTCTATTCTTATGTCGATATAATGAGTATCCCGATGAGTTTGTAATAAAAGATACCACAGAGTCTGGCATATCTTTCTCATATTTAGATATTTTACTTGAGAAAGACGTTAATGGCAATCTTAAAACCATATTTTATGATAAACGTGATGACTTTCACTTTTGAATCATCAACCTCCCGTACTTATGCACTAATATACCTTCTTCACCTGCAAACGGGGTTTATATATCTCAGTTGATTTAGTACCCGAGAGAAAGCTCTACGTATGAACAATTTCTAAACGATGTTAATTATTGACAAACAAGTTGCTGCAATAAGAATATCAGCAGCCTCGTTCAAAGTCATCATTTCGTTATTTATATGGTCATTACAATGACTGTGTCAAAAAATAATTTATCACTACTTCAAATGCTGACTGACGTTTTTATACTATTATAATTTCATACACAAATAGCAAATCAGGCATAGCAGCAGCACACTAGCTATCCAATAATATAATGAAATTCAATCCCCTTATATACACAGATGGCAAATTGTGTGTAGCAGCAATACACTAGCTTCTACAATAAAACTTAAAACTCAATGCTCTGATATACACAGATCAACTCAAGTAAAGGAGTGATAAACTATTTACTTATATAATAAAACTTAATGCTCTACGGTCATCTTAAAAAAATTGTTGGTTGCCCTCTCCCGACTGACTAAAAATGAATCAACTCATTTTTCTTTACATTCCAGGACAATTTTTTTATTCCTCTTATCTCGTCAACAAATATGTTGAAAGTTTATGGATTCAAGATTTTCCTTCCTACCTTCCGACCCAATAATTTTACCCTGAGTCGGGAGAGGGCAAGCAAACATTATTTTAAAGGTGCCCTAATAAACACAAATCTCAAAAACACTACGGCATTTAAGTCCGGATACGACATAACCCAAACCTTTAGGTATCCTTTCGAGAAGACATAATTTTAAAATGTTCCTGAATTTTGGTGTGTTTTTTTTTTAATTCTTACCTCATCATGTCAATCTTAACTTCCATAATATTGACGTTTTCTTATAATCTTCTCCAAAAACTTAAAATCACATGGGAGAATGGGGGATTTTTTCATCCCAGCTGAAATCCCAACAAAATTCGATGGGAGAATTGGAAATTTTTCATCCCAACTGATAATTTGTCTACCCCAAAAAAATCCCATAGCAGCAAAAATAAAACTATAGCAGCAATATATTTTTGTATATAAAAAAATCAGGCATAGCAGCAATACAGCAAATTAGGTATAGCAGCAATACACTATAAAATAATATAATAAAACACAATGCTTTAATATACGCAGATAACAAATTAAGTATGGAAGTGGCAGACAAGGTAGCTCTGTAATCCATAAATTAGTGAAACTCCATACTTTTACATACAAAGATAGCAAAATCAGTTATAACAGCAAAACACTAGTAGCTATACCCACAGTAAAACTACGTACTCTAACATGTTCATAAAGTAAATCATAGTAAATTAAACCGCAAATTCAAAAGAATACCTACTTCCACTTGAATAGTGAAACTCAGTATTATTACATACAAACAATGCAAATCAGTTATAAAAGAAACATGCATGTTTTAATATGTGCATTATGAAATTTTGCAAATATTATCCATGCACCCTTGTATTTTCTGCAGTTATATAAACATATCTTTCAAGATATACATTTGTTTCAAAAATTTAAATTCAAAAATTCATACATGCATCGAGTTAATTACATGTAATAAGCTACATTTTGCAAGTTACGGACAAGGTTTTAAAAGTATCCCAGTTGAAATTGACGTGCAAGTTGTGACATGATCTACAAATGGTAACGAAATAATGAGGTAATATGTGATACATGTCGTACAAAAAGTTGCGAAAAAACTTATACAAAACGATTTCATTAGTACACTGCATAATTCTGAAAACATCGACTGAAGAAAATTTGCTAACCCATGTACATGAGAATTCTTAACGAAAATGTAAAGCGTTGTAAAAAGCAAAAGCAGTATTTGTCTTTTTCAAAAAAAGTTTAAGTGTATAAAATCTTCAGAAAACAAAATATATAATTTTTAGTAAATAAATTAAGGAAATATTTTACGTAAAATTATCTCTGAGTATGTGACTTCTTGAGAAATAATTAAAAACATAAAGAGGCTAAGAATGTTTCTATCAAAGTTATTACACATGTACAGTTATTTAAAAATCTTCAGAAAACAAAATATATGATGTTTTATTGCTCATAATTTAAAAGTTTTTTAACTTTAAATAAAAAAAAAATGATCTAACTTACACGACGTATACTTAATTCGTTGAAAACATCAAACAATTGTTAAAAATAATGAATATATATATAAAAACAATTATTAAAAATAATGAATATATATGAATGATTTTAACCCAAAAATCTTGATAAATTAATTTACACAAAAGACTTGCCTGATTTGTTGCACGAGGGCGAAGGTGAAGACACCCGAGCAGATGAAGCTATCACTGAAAACATTTTCAGAAGTAATTCCCCGAAAAACACTTCTTAAAAGAAAAATAAACTGTCTACCGGTAGGTAAACTTCAACATTACACTAAAAGGTTTCACAAAAAGTAAAAATAATGGAATCCCTCCAGTTATGTGTTGGTTTACTGTTTATCTCGGTTATTATACAAGCACTGGATAAAAAGTAGTAAAAACTCCTGTATGGATTACCAATATCGTCCTGTTGCCACAACAATAGGGTTCAGTTAAAATGCTGCGAAGAATGTTGCCTTGTCATATTTATACGTTTATTGACTTGCAAAAAGCGCGCGTTAGCGCGTGGAGCAGCCGATAGACAGAGATGCAGTTCAGACCGCCAAAACATCGAGATGATGATGAAGTCGCCGAGAAATAAGATAACAATGCGAGTTGACGCATCTCTCATCAACTGTCAAAGAAAGACGATCTAGCTAATTATAGTTATTGTTCTCGCCGGGCCCAGATGAAAATGTGCCAATAACTTATTCCGATTCTTTTGGGGGAGAAAAAGGGGGTTACTTGTAACTTTTGGATGGGTGAGATATATTTTGCCTATATTGTTAGCTTTGATTAGCATCCATGACGCAAAGTGAGAAAGAGAAAATAAACAGATTCCCTCTCACGGCTGTCTCTTCCTGTTTTGAAAAATTCCTCTTCAATGAAACATGCGATTAAAAGGGAAATTAGGCAGCTTTTTGTAGAAGCAGGATGCATTAGATTATATTCTATTAGGCATCCCCTCATGAGAAATATCAAATATAACTGAAATCTCCTCTAAGTGATTTAGATTAAGGGACATATCAAGAAGAAGTGATTATTTTCAAAAATATTCCACTATGGATATAATCCCCCGGGGCATATTAATATGTATGGTGCCATTTTCAATTACTGAAGATTTTGCACATAATACAAAATTTCATCGAGTGGGGAGTAAACGTGATAACTCTATTTTCACCAAGTTTATATATACAAGGTTTGTCCGGTAAATTCGTAGACAAGTTGTCTGGAGCGAAAAATAGTCATCACTGCATTGTAAAATTTTCGCTTCTCTTTAGTATATTTTACTATGTATAGCAAATTTTAAATAGATGAATACTTAAATACAAATTATGATATTTAGAAGAATTACACGCTTAGTTTGGACTTTCAGTAAGGCGTGGCATTCTCGACGTTGCCTATTTAGCTTCTGAAATTTACACAGCTTCCCTTCACTGTTGAAATATACATATGATAGAAATGCGGCCGAATGTCAACTGGTGTAGTGAATAGCCAATTAAAAGTTCTCTCCCGGCACAGAGGTGGGACATATCAACAACAATTTTAATTTCCTGATGTTATTAATTTCGTAACCAATGAGAATTTACTAGTATTCGCCATTACGTAGCGCCGAGAAAGTCACGCCCTACTGAAAGTCCAAAGATAGGGTAAAATCATCCTATGTAATGTGTTGTATCGCCAAGTGCGGCACACAGATGATTACGTCAAATTGTCTAAACAGCGTCACGTTTCCTCTTTGCTAAAAAAGGTGTCATCATCACATCTAAATCGGATATAGAAGTTCTGAACTGCTCTCTGGTGCGCCGTAACGTACGTTACCAAACGTAGCAAAACTGCCAAAAATTAAATAAAATGCCGTGACATGTTCCAAAAAACGACACAATGGATGGTGGATTAAAATAGTATCAATTTTTATCCAATCTTATCTATTTAATAATGCATGTATTTTTATTTCGAAATAATACTCATGTTCTCTTTCATGATTTTTTTATGTACACCGTAGGGGCATACCCGGTGCACATTCAAGCAAAATAAAATCTTTACTTTGATCTGCATTTTATTTTTTTTTTAAGATGCACAAAAATATGATTAATAATAAACATTTTGCTTAAGATTTTATTTTGATAAACATTTGCTTAAAATTTTTGCTTTGTGCGTGTATTATTTTTCGAAAAAAAAAAAACCGCCTTGTCCACGATTTTACCGGACAACCCTTACATATAATAATATATAAATGTGTTATAAATATTCTTCAAATGCATTGATGCAATTTTTCTCTGAAATACTGACGCAATGCTGACATTTATAGTTACACATATGTAAACAATTGTGTAATACATATGTAAGTTTTCGGGACACATGCACTTTCGTACAGGAGTACGAAATCTCGCCCATCCTTTGACCGAAATTCTAATAAATTATAGACACATTTTCAACGCACCATGTATATTTTACGGGATGAATTTCGTTGTGCGTGTATTATTTTTCGAACAGGAAGAAATCCGCCTTGAACACGATTTTACCGGACAACCCAGCTTGATTCTGGTTCAACCGTGAGCTTTCCTCTTATTGTTGAACCCAGATTCTTTTAAACCTCAAGACACAAACACGAGTTACTAATTTGTTACTTTTATATAGAATCAGCAAAGAATATACTTTTACATGAGCTTGGGAACTATCAGCACCGAAGGTCCGATTCCAACTGACTATAAGTTTTCACAACAAATCATACATACTGAACAAAGACAGAGTAAAATAAAAGGATTAACAAAAGGTATATAGAAATCAAGTATCAAACAATTATTGAGCGAATGGTGACATTTTAGCAGCATGTATATAATAGAATTAAAGATGAAAGATTAAGTGTCAATAAATATAAACAGATGTCAATTAAGGGATTAACTGCATGTACATCACTGACTCTGCCTCAGGTGGGATTAAGGCTGTGCGAAATTTATATAATTTATCACATTTGCCGAAATAAAAGAAAAGTTTTGACAACAATTTACACAAAGTCCGAAAAGTTAATTTACACGGTAATTTAAAATAAGTCCAAAAATGTTGTATTTTACACCGTAACACATGCTCCGCCTTCGCGTAAAACACGTCCTCGTGTTTTCATTTTTTTCTCAATAAAACCGGCCTCTTCTTGGTTTTCCTTGACATCTCCAGGATTGAAAAGGACGTTATTTTTCTAAAATGATGGATTCTAGATCATCTCTTTTATCCTTCAATCGTCTGCAGCAGGGCGTTGTTTTGTCCCCTCAATTGTTTGGCTGTTTTCTCAACGTCCTCTTGAATTTTCATAATGTACTGACTATAGTCCTTTCCGATGTAGTTCAATTTCTTCTGCATTAAGTCCATAAGGACTTTGTCAGCCTGGGCGTCTTCTTTTAATTTTTGAATTGTCTTTAGATATAACATTTCTTTGGAGTTATTTGTCTGTTGTTTTAACTTATTTTCCATTTCTCTGTTGTCGTTTTGCAACTTTTTGATTTCTGACTCGGCTGTTTTTAACTTTACTGCCATACTTCTCCCCTGTTCTTTACACATGTGGAGTTGCTTTTTCAGATGTTTTAGCTCAGTTCGCAAAGTAGAAGAAGTATCACAATATAATCGAAACTGGCTGTCTCTAACAGAATTGAATGGTAGTTCTCGCAAAACTCGCTTGTTTTCGAGAAACTTGCTCAGTCGTTTCATGTCGCGCAATTTCTTTTTGCTTGGGACTGGTCCTTTATTCACAGGTTTTGGCTCCGTTTTCTTAATCTGTGTAAAACACATCCTTGAATAATGTCCCATTCTGTGGCATCGGTAGCACTTCTGGTGAATTTGCAAAACATGAAACGTTTGGATGCACATTTCCACACCTTCCGCACACTGGATGCTGACACGAAGGGAAGTTAAACTTTTTCTGTCTCCACGGCGGTCGGAAAGAATACTCCACTGCTGATCCTAAAACGTCTGCTTCATCTGTATCTGAACTGACAATACTGGGGAAGCTTGCTTTTTAGCTCTTGTAGAGGTCCAGGATCTGACTACTACAAAGTATATGTAGCAGCCCCGGGTGTCGTTACCCTTAGGTTTCTCACACCAAGTTTTACGGGATGAATTTCGTCCGTCTACACTGATTCTGGTTCAACCGTGAGCTTTCCTCTTATTGTTGAACCCAGATTCTTTTAAACCTCAAGACACAAACACGAGTTACTAATTTGTTACTTTTATATAGAATCAGCAAAGAATATACTTTTACATGAGCTTGGGAACTATCAGCACCGAAGGTCTGATTCCAACTGACTATAAGTTTTCACAACAAATCATACATACTGAACAAAGACAGAGTAAAATAAAAGGATTACCAAAAGGTATATAGAAATCAAGTATCAAACAATTATTGAGCGAATGGTGACATTTTAGCAGCATGTATATAATAGAATTAAAGATGAAAGATTAAGTGTCAATAAATATAAACAGATGTCAATTAAGGGATTAACTGCATGTACATCACTGACTCTGCCTCAGGTGGGATTAAGGCTGTGCGGAATTTATATAATTTATCACATTTGCTGAAATAAAAGAAAAGTTTTGACAACAATTTACACAAAGTCCGAAAAGTTAATTTACACGGTAATTTAAAATAAGTCCAAAAATGTTGTATTTTACACCGTAACATATATACGAGGGGTTATCAAAAAATTTGTGGACTAGTTCCATAAAATTAAAACCATATTAGGTACATCAATGAATTTTAAAATATCTAGTAGGCATCATCTTTTCTATCTGAAGAATAAACAATAAATCATAAATTTTATTTTTTAATAAATTAGTAGTGTTTTTGTAAACAATGGTATGTCCAGGCGGCGCAATCGAACACGACGTTTTTGCGACCTAAGTGTAACTGAGTAATACTCTTATGATATGACCATTTGACATCCAAAAATCCCGTGAATTCAGATATGTGTTGGGACACAATTGTTACATAAAATATGAAATTTTAAGTTCATTCTGGAATTTCTATGAAATTTTATCTTAAATTTTACATGGAGTGACCAAACAAATAAGGCCTTGAAAATGACGTCAAAAGGGGGGATGGGTTTCCTTTTCCAACATTCTATAAAGTTTTACCCCTGAAAAAACTGGTATATACCTAATTATGTTTAAACTAGCTACAGAGAAAAAATATGCATCCAGAGTATTTATCTTTTAATGTCAAAATAGATTCAGAGAGAAAAGGGATGCACAGTTAATGTTGATTTGTAGTGTAAAAAATCAATCACGTCAAAAATGATCATGTGTTGTAAGTATTGAACTCCCAAAAACAAAATATGCTGGCACAATCAAGTGAGGATCCCTCCCATTGTATAAAATTAATTTGATATATTATATTCATTGAAAGTCTCTGTTCATGACATTGTAAAGTCATTTAAACAAGGCCTGATTAAGTCCTTATTCAGCGCCAGAGAATCTCATCAAAATAAGTGTATGAGGAACAAGAAGCGGACATTGAAAAACAATGACGTTGTCGGACGTCATGAAACTAAACGGCGACAGCGCCGGGTGATCATATAATATCGATTTTATTTTATGATAATT